CAGTCCTCCCATAGAACAGAAGCAATGAAACCACAGCACCAGTGGCGACGTGGGCCTGGAGCGAGAGCAAGAACTCTGTCTATACGGCACCAGTGGCCAGGCAGAGTGTGGGAGTATTAAGAAAGGCAGGGTGCTGAATTTGCTAGTGGAAAAGGAGTGGTTCTCTTCAGATGGTTACTATTTATCCGTGAAATAGGAGTCAAAGCTATTAGCTGAGAGTCAGCAGAAAGGGGCTGAAGGCGGAAGAGGAGTGGTGCCCCCTGGGACCAGGAATACACAGTAGCTTTGCCAGACCAGGCTGAAGATCCCCTTGAGCTCCAGGTTTGTAAGTTTACTAAGCTGTAAGTTTACTAAGCTGGAGTTTTTCTCCAGCTGCATTTAGCTGCTCAGATGCAAGCATTGAAAGTACAGCCAGAGGTGAGTTCAACCAGAGTTGAAGGTTTTCCAGGCCAGTATGACAGAATAAATGTGAAAGTGTGTACAGATGATTGTTTATGACAATGTGCCACAGGTTATCTGGGTAAAGAGAGGAAAGAGGGCGTGCGTAAGACAAATGGTGAGGAGTAGCTGAGCCCACAGGGTCCCAGTGGACAAAGGGGGAGATGCTGTAGCAGTGAGCTGAGGAGACAGAGCTGTTAGAATTGTAATGCATGGAGGGTGGGTATTTGGTGGAGTGGTTAAGCCACCACCCAGGACACCTGCATCCCGTATTAAAGTGTCTATATTCAAGTCCAGCCTCTGCTCCTGAGTCCAGTTTTCTACTACTGTGCATCTTAGGAAGCAGCAGATGATGGCTCAAGTACTTGGGTCCCTGTTACCCATGTCAGAGACCCAGACTGAGTTCTGTCCCTAGCCCGGCTCTGGCAACTGTGGGCATTTTGGGGAGTGAACCAGTGGATGGGGTGTATCTCTCTCTCTCTCTCTCTCTCTCTCTCTCTGCAACCTCCTCCCCCAGCCTTTCAAATGAAAAAAATTCTTTTAAGTTTGCAAAAAAAATGGAATTAAGAGATGCATTTACTTAAAAAAAGAAAGTGCGTTGCATGCAATTAGACTTTTGGAGGTGGTACAGGCACAGTGATAGCAAGGTCAAGGGGTGATAGTGTGGTTGCTGCTGGGGACACCAACATCCCAGAGTAGAACTCTGATTAGAGTGCCAACCACTCTGTTTCTGATACACCTTCCTGCTATTGGCCTGGAGAGGCAGCAGAAAATGACCAAAGTATTTGAGTCCTTGCCACTCACGTGGGAGACCAGGCTGGATTTTCTGGCTCATGCCTTTAGCCTGGTCCAACCTTGGCTGTTCAGGCCATTTGGGGAGGGAATGAGCAGATGGAAGACTCTCTCTCTCTCCCCACCCCCTCTTTATTTCTATCTATCTTTCTCTGTCACTCTTCATTTCAAATAAATCTTTAGGAAAAAATAGCAAGATCAAGTATGACTGTGGGGGCCGGTGCTGTGGTGCAACAGGTTAACACCCTGGCCTGAAGTGCCAGCAACACATATGGGCGCTGGTTCTAGTCCCAGCTGCTCCACATCTGATCCAGCTCTCTGCTATGGCCTGAGAAAGCAGTAGAAGATGGCTCAAGTCCTTGGGCCCCTGCACCCATGTGGGAGATTGTAAGAAGCTCCTGGCTCCTGGCTTTGGATCTGTGCAACTCCGGCCGTTGCAGCCAATTGGGGAGTGAACCATTGGATGGAAGACATCTCTCTCTCTCTCTCTCTCTCTCTCTCTCTGCCTCTTCTTCTCTCTCTGTGTAACTCTGACTTTCAAATAAATAAATAAATCTTAAAAAAAATCTTCATGAACCAGGGGAAATGGTGCAAGATGATTATTTCACTCTAAGAACAGGGCACTAGGTGGCACAAATTGATGGCATGTGCTTTAAGACATCAGGGGTTTCTGAGAGGAGAGAGAGAAGGAAACAGTGTAGAAATGTTGTTGAAGAGCCAAGAGGACACAAGGCTTACTGAAGGCACTGCAGTGCCCTGAGTACTGGTGACCAAAGGGTGGGGACCGTAGAGGACGTGAAGAATGCAAACTTCACTTGAAAGAGCTGCTGCTGGACAGAGGCAAAGAAGACACTGGAAGTGAGGAATTTTATGGATGACAAAACTTTGCAGAAGGCTCAGTGGGAAGCCATGGAGGGACAGAGCAGGAGGGAGATGCAATTGGAACAGTAACGCACCAAGATGTGTGGAGGCCAGCTAAAGCACACAGAAGACCTGGGGGTCCTGGACTTCTGAGGACTCCTGGATGTTCTGTGTTTCCAGGAAAATGAAGTCAGCTCAGTCCCTTCTGAAGCAGGATCCACACTGGCTCTTCTCTGTGTTCTCCACAGAGTCATGGTTGTGTTAACTCCATGAAATAATGAGTGGAATGCATTTCCTTACAAAGACAGAGGAAGGTTCGTGTCACTAGAGGGAGAGACTAAGTGAGGGGATCAGAAGGCAGGAGTTTTTTTTGTTGTGGGGTAGAAGAGCAAAGTGGACCCACTACTGGGTATATACCCAAAAGGCATGAACACAATGTATCAAAGAGGTACCTGCATCAATTTGTTTGTAGCAGCTCTGTTCACAGCAGCCAAAATACTGAATCAATCAAGGAAACAAGGTGTCCATCACCAGGTCAATGGATAAGAAAACATGTGTGTGTGTTTGTGTTTATGTGTATGTATCAGAATATTTATTCAGCTATAAAAAGAATGGAATTCTACCATATAGATTCTACCAAAATGGATTCAACTGGAAGACATCATTTTGAGTTAAATAAACTTGTCACAAAAAGACAAATACCACATGTTCCCCCTTATGTGTGGGAACTAAAATTAAAAGAGAAAAAAATCAAAAAACAAAAACAAAAAAAGAAGTGCCAATGTGTGTCAGTATTGTTGCAAATATGTTTTTGTCAAACTTTGCTTTATATCTTTGTCAAACCAATGGTTAAGAATGTTATGCGAGATACTCAGCAGACTCATAGAATGGCGGATGTCCTAAATAGCACTCTGGCCTCAGAATCAGCCCTAAAGGCACTCGGATCTGGCTGAAAAGCCCATGAGAGTATTTCAGGCATGGAAAGCCAAGACACTCTGGCAAAAAGATCTCTGTGAGTGAGATCCCAGTGGAAAGAACAGGTCTTCAAAGAGGGAGGTGCCTTTCTCTGAAGGGAGGAGAGAACCTCCACTTTGACTATGACCATGTCTAAACAAGATAAGAGTCGGAGAACTCAAGGGGCTTCCATAGCCTTGGAAACTCATGACTGGAGCATAGGGAGATTACTGATGCCATAGACAGGAGTGTCAATTTGTAAAGCCAACAACAGGAGTCACTGTGCACCTACTCCTCATGTAGGATCTCTGTCCTTAATGTGCTGTACATTGAGGCTTAATGCTATAATGAGTACTCAAACAGTATATTTCACTTTGTGTTTCTATGGGGGTGCAAACGATTGAAATCTTTACTTAATGTACACTAAACTGATCTTCTGTAAAAAAAAAAAAAAAAAAAGAAATTATCAATTCCCAACTTGACTCTCACTGGGATTAAACATGACAATAGGTCTGATCTGATTTCATCATCATTTAAAAAAAAATCATCTATTATTTTTCACTTTATGTTTCTGTGTGGGAGCAAACTGTTGAAATCCTTACTTAAGGTATACTAAGCTGATCTTCTGTATATTAAGATAATCGAAAATGAATCTCGATGTGAATGGAAGGGGAGAGGGAGTGGGAAAGGGGAGGGTTGTGGGTGGGAGGGACGGTATGGGGGAAAGCCATTGTAACCCATGAGTCATACTTTGGAAATTTATATTCATTAAATAAAAGATTAAAAAAAAAAGAATGTTATGCTACTATAGTTTTAATCTGTGATCATTTCACATTTCCTGCATATGTGTGAAATGGTCATCTTTCGATTTGATTATTGTTTATAGTCCTTGCCTATGTTACTGATGAACTAGGTCTTTTTACTTGTTGCTCTCTTTATTCAGTGGAGAAGTAAGCCCTTAACTGTAAAGTTAATTAAAGATAAACTTGAAAAAGAAGGAAGGGAGGGAGGGAGGGAGGGAGGAAGATGGGTGAGAGGGAGGAAGGGAATATCATTATATTCTTAGAATTGCATCTATGAACTACATTGAATCTATTCTCATTGTGTTAATATTGCATTAACATGAAAAAAACATAAAGTATCAGGAAAAAAGAACAAAGTGGAAAGACCAGAACCTGAAGTCAAAACACCTGGTTGCATCCCCAGGCTGCAACTTACCAGGTCTCTTGGGAAATCACAGCTTTCTGCTTATCTGTGACCTCATCTGTAAAGCAAACCTCTCCTTAGGTGAACTTGAGCTTCAAATGGCAGTCACCCCCATGGGGCTCCTATACCTCTGCTGCAGGACTAATTACATCCCACTTGGAAGCCTTGTCGAGCTGTACACCTGTAGCAGGGGACAATAGAGGCAGCAGAAGCACAGCTGGCAGCTGGCACTCACACCCAGTCCTCTGCTGTGTGCCAACATCCACTCCCAACAGCTAGTTGAAGAGCTATTGCGGAAACATTCATTCCTCTTAGTTTTGAAAGATTTTTCTTATAAAGCACAGTGCATTAATTACAGCTAACACCACAGACAGGGTGATGGAGGACCAAATGAGAGCCACTCAGGTGAGGAGTCCAGGACTATGACAGGCCAGGGGTTCACTCTGGGACAAGCTATGTGGAACGTCGTGACTTCCGTTCTTCCACGGCTGTGCAGAAGCATAACAGCCCACAGGAGCCTGAGCAAGGAGGAATCCGAGCCAGCCGTCCCCACACATGGCTAGGAGCAAGGCAGCTGCATGCTGCCTGCATGTCCAAGAGGTGATGTTTTTCTCTGCCCTCCCCCCCCCCCCCCGCCCTGTTTCTTCCTAGTGAGACCTTTGGCCCAGTTTTCAAAGCAGACTGTGCCTGGATAAGCAGGGGCGGGGCTTCTGAAGGCAGGAGTCTCAGGGCTCTATAAAGCCTCCTCGGGCGTCGCTGGGCATCTCTCCCAAGGGCTGTGAACTCCCAGCTTTGTGCTTGCTCCTCCAAACATGCAGCGGCTGTTGACTCCGGTGAGGCAGGTCCTACGAGTGAACACAGCACTGCGGGAGGCCTCCCTGGCACCTGCTCGCCTGCTCCCCGCAGCCCAGCAAAGGTGAGTCACGGCCTTCTCAGGGGCTGTCCAGGGAAGCCTGTGGGACCCTGAGACACAGGCAGGGGGCCTGCCCCAGGACAATCTCTCTGGAATGCTGGTCAAAAGTTGGCCAGGTGGGCATGGCCTTGGACAAGCAGGGTGACTCCTCGGGGTCTCAACCTCATCTCTGAATAGCCAGTTTCTTTCAAGTTTAGAATTAAGGGGTCTCAGAATTACCACATGGGCTGTGTTTGTGGCCAATGATGGCATCTGACTCCAGCAGCTGCACAAAGCAGCAGCAATTTAAGAACAAGGGCCTGCAGCTCCGGCATCTCCACCAACACTCCCACCTTTGCTCCCAGGCCCTGCCAAGACCCTTGGGGACTCTGTGCCAATGGCAGTGTTAATAAAATCAGTGGCTTTGAGTCCCTGCAGCAAGATCTGAAATGGGCTGATAAGAGCTGTCTCCTCTGTGCTCCGATTTTAGGAAAAGGGAAAGTGAAATGTAAAGATGAGTGAGTATGTGTGTGTGTGTGTGTGTATGTGTGCATATGCGTGCATGCATTTGCTTGTGAAAGAACACACACACACACACACACACACCTTCCCTTTGTAAAACTTCCACCAGTCCCAAGTACTTGCAGTCTCCAAGTTGCAATGTCAGCACAGAGTTAAGCGAGTGCCCCAGGCTCCCAGCCCCCACCCCTAAGCCACCCACACCCCTCAGGACTAGCCTTTCCTTTCCTTCCATCTTAACATTCCATGAAGACTGAATCCTTAGAAAACATGATTTTGATCCATTGTCTTCTCTTGCCCAGGATACAAGGAACCTGGTGTGTAGATGGGGGGAGGGGTGGCACTCATTAGCTTCTCATCTTCTTCATGATTCTCCTGTAGTCCACAGTCTCCCCACCCCCTTCCAAACTGTTGCATATAGATCAAATATCCAGGCTCAGACTCTAACCTGCGTCCGTACTTGTAAGAAAGAGCTTGGCGTGAATTTACTCTGCAAAACTCATTCCCTACCAACAGTCCAACTTCCTTGGTTCACACTCTTGTACGTGTCATTCACATTTCCCTTTTGGTGAATTCACAGTCAATCCATTGCCCTTGGCATGAACTGACGCCAAGAATGTCCTCTATGAGTGACCTCCTTGCTGTGTGTCTGTGCCCCCTCCAGTCCCACTTGCTTCAGCTCTAAGCCCATTCTCAGAACTCCTCCACACAGCGTCTGCTGTGCTCCCGTAGGATTTAGTAGGAAGTGTGCCCTCCACCTCCTACTGTCTTCACATGGGAGGCTGGTTCAAAAATTCCTGGAAAAAAGTGGAATTAGAAAACACATTAGCATTGGTGATAGAAGTGCCAAAATCCACTCATAGTGTCTTGAGAACATGCATTTCCCACAAGCTTTTTGAACACCCCCACGTTGTCTCCCTATTCCACCCCCCCCCACACCCTTGTCTCCAGGTTCCCTTTTCCTGCTCAAGCACTCCCTCTAGTGACAACTGCCCCTTCTATCCCCTCCAACTCTTCATCAGATGAGAGAGAACCATCTCCAGTGCAGCCCCTTTGATTCAGCCCTACCCGATGCTCCCACCCACAGAAATCTCCGCTTCCACTGAAGTCCCATATGCCTCTGTGTCCCTCATCACGCCCTGCCTTGCCAGGTTATCTGTGTGCTCACCTCATTGCACATGCTGGTCAAGGAGGGCCTCCAGAACACTGTCCTGTCTTTGCTTGCCCAGCCTCTTTCCCCCTGGAGCCCCTTCCCAGCATAGCGCCTGGCATGGCATCATCCATTTTGAAATAGGAGGAAAGCAGAAGAGATGGAGTAAAGAAACAAAGCTTTGTGCATGTTTTTGAACTAGGCAGCACCAGAGCAAAGCTGATTTTGAATTAAATAAAGTGATCATTCTTTAAAGAAAGTTAGAATGACACTCTTAAAATTTTTATTCATTTATTTACTTGAGAAGGAGGTGGGGGGAGAGGAGAGGAGAGGAGAGGAGAGGAGAGGAGAGGAGAGGAGAGGAGAGGAGAGGAGAGGAGAGAGAAACAGAGAGACTGACTCATCCAGTGGTACACTCCCCAAATGCCCTCAACAATCAGAAGCTGGAAACTCAATCCAGGTCTCCCTGCCTGGTAGCAGGGACCCAAATACTTGAGCTGTCACCTGCTGCCTCCCAGCATGTCCATTAGCAGGAAGCTGGTATTGGGAGTGATGCCAGGACTCAAGCACAGGTACTCCAGTATGGGATGTGGGAGTCCCAATCAGTTTTAATCACCAGGCCAAATGCTCCTGGGCCCCTTAGAAGGATTCCCTTAGCTACAGTGATCTGATGCTTCTGGAAGCTTTTCTCTGTTAACTTTAAGGCTCTGTGATCTATTTCCAGAAATAGCCCCCTACCAAGAGAGTTACAAAACTTACAAAGCAATTGATTATTGAAACTTGTCTTTGCATGCTTAGAGTTCTCCTTTTCTTTCTTCTGGTGTGTGTGTGTGTGTGTGTAATGAAGTGTTTAAATAGCTTCTTTCAAGGTATTTCTTACCATGTGGGCCACAGGCTTAGTTGTAAACACCGTTGTTCCAGTTTGCAGATCTAATGCATGTTAGTGAGGTGCCTGGATACATGTTAAAAATAATGTTGCTCAAAAAGATGTGAAATTCAGTGAATGTTAAGTGTTTGAGCTATATGTGTGTAAGGAAGTGCTTACCAACACTTCTTCTAAACTATATCTTCTTAAGCAAAATGATGAGCTGTAAAAACTGCTATTTCAAGGAGCTGGTATTGTAGGAGTTGTGGGTGTTGTAGGGACTTGTTGAAAATAGGAGTCTAAGAATGTTCTTTAAAAGAAATGTTGTGTATTGTGCTGATACAGTGAATTAAAGTGTTTAACAAAGTACTATAAATTTATTTTTTAAAGAATTATTTTATTTATTTGAAAGAGTTACAGAGAGAGACGTAGAGCCAGAGAGAGAGAGAAAGGTCTTCCATTCTGCTGGTTCACTCCCCAAATGACCGCAATGGCCAGAGCTGAGCTGATCCAAAGCCAGGAGCCAAGAGCCTCCTCCAGGTCTCCTACATGGGTGCAGGGCCCAAGGACTTGGATCATCTTGTACTGCTTTCCCAGGTCACAGCAGAGACTTGGATTGGAAGAGGAGCAGCCAGGACTCGAACTGGTGCCCATATGGGATGCCGGTGCTGCAAGCTGGAACTTTAATTTGCTGTGCCACAGTGCCAGCCCCAAAGTACTATAAATTTAATAAGCTGCTTTAACATGTTTTTGCTTTTAATTGACACATAAAAATTGTACCTGTTTATGAAGTGCAGTGGGACATGTCCATACATGTATATAACCTACAATGATGAGTTTAGGGTCATTGGCATATCCAGCACCTAAACAGTTATCATTTCTCTGTGCAACTTTAGATTTCAAACTGCGAAGAGAGGGAGATTTAACCCAGGGAAGGCAGATTGAGAATGAGGCTGGTGCGGAAAGCCAGCCACACTGGCAGGCCCCAGCGCTGGCTAACCATTAGCTTCGAGGTCCTAGGGGAAGCTCCTCCACAAATATTTGAAAGTACAAACTCCAGTTATTTGGAGGTCACCACATAAATAGGGCAGATAAAGAAACTCCGAGTGTCTCTTGTCAGCTGTTGCTGGACATCAATCCCTTTCCTCACTAGCTTGCGATATGACCCAATTTTGCTCAGAGCCGTCCTTAACCGTGACCCTCCTGGTGGGAACACTGGGTCTCCCAGAGGCCCAGAATCCTGATAATGACTAATAGTTACACTTGGGCTGAATTTATCAGAGATAAATTTATAAGCCTGGCATGCAAGGCAGCAGCAAAGGGCCAGAGTATTTCTGACACATAAAAAACAATGAAGTCACTTGGAGCATTTCACCAGCGTATGCCTTTCACCACCTGTACAGTAAAGAACATGGCAAAAGTGACAAGAACACAGGTGCTTCCACACGGGAGCACATGAGACACAAACTTAGTGAATTCCGTATTTACAACTGCGAGGAGAAACCCCAGATTTTTAATCAAGAGTCAGGGCTGAAGCAAGGTGGGCAGATGCAGGAGAGAAATAGAATTCTTCCCTCTCCTACTGGCCCTCCCCATTTTCTCTCTGCCCTCATTTAGAATTGCTCTCTTTGGTCTAAGGCCATACCACCCTGACCACACCCGATCTCATCTGATCTCAGCAGCTAAGCAGGGTTGGGTCTGGGTAGTACTTGGATGGGAGAATTGCTCTCTTTGGCCCACAGGTTTGCTTGTTGCTCCTCCATTAGGTTGTGTTCCCTTTGGAGGCACCAAGACAGTCTTATCCCCTGTTGTGTTTCTGGACTGGTGGTATGCAGGGTGTGTTCTGTAAACAGTAGAAAACCAGACAGGAGGGAAACAAGCAGAAAACTTCCTTTAAAAGGAGAAAAACAGGGTATGTTCTTGCATGGGAAAAAAAAAGAGAAAGACAGATAATGAGACATACACATTTTAAATGAGTGAAATTTAAAAAATTATGTCCCATAAAGGTTTATAACAGACATAGATATAAAATATATGACATTACTAGCTCCAAGAGAGGGGATGCTAAATGAAGTCAACCTAAAGTTCAGAAAGGAGTAGAAGTATTGTTAAATCATAATGTGTTATGTATACATGTCATATCTCTGCAGTTACCACTAAAAGGAAAAGGAGGTAAAATTTAAAAATAAATATTTGCTTAATTAAGAAGAATATAGGAAAGGGAAAATAAAGGCACAAAGAACATGTGAAACAAATAGAAAGATGGTAGGCTTAATTCCAACTATATCAGTAATTACAATAAATAGAGTTAGATTAAATACTCTAATTAAATTATCACTATTTTAAGATTTTTTAAACGTTTTTTAAAAACTCAACCAGATTTTTTTAAAGATTTATTTTATTTTACTTGAAATTCAGAGTTACACAGAGAGAGAAGGAGAGGCAGAGAGAGAGAGAGAAGTCTTCCATCGCTAGTTCACTCCCCAGTTGGCCTCAATGGCTGGAGCTCCACTGATCTGAAGCCAGGAGCCAGGAACTTCTTCCGGGTCTCCAACACGGGTGCAGGGACCCAGTGACATGGGCCATCTTCTACTGCTTTCTCAGGCCATAGCAGAGAGCTGGATCAGAAGTGGAGCAGCAGGGACTCAAACCGGTGCCTATATGGGATGCCGGCACTGCAAGTGGTGGCTTTACCCACTAAGCCACAGCGCTGGCCCCTCAACTAGATACTTTTTACAAGTAATGCATGTTAAGTACAAAGTATCTGAGAGAGAGGAAATATAAAAGGACAGAAAAAAATCACATCACACAAGCAATAGTCAAACAGCGTAGCTATGCTGACTTCACGACAAGCAGACAAGTATCCCCAACATAAAAAGGGATATTTGGGCCGGCGCCGCGGCTCACTAGGCTAATCCTCCGCCTTGCGGCGCCGGCACACCGGGTTCTAGTCCCGGTCGGGGCGCCGGATTCTGTCCCGGCTGCCCCTCTTCCAGGCCAGCTCTCTGCTGTGGCCCGGGAGGGCAGTGGAGGATGGCCCAGGTGCTTGGGCCCTGCACCCCATGGGAGACCAGGAAAAGCACCTGGCTCCTGGCTCCTGCCATCGGATCAGCGCGGTGCGCCGGCCGCAGCGCGCCAGCCGCGGCGGCCATTGGAGGGTGAACCAACGGCAAAGGAAGACCTTTCTCTCTGCCTCTCTCTCTCACTGTCCACTCTGCCTGTCAAAAAAAAAAAAAAAAAAAAAGGGATATTTAATAGGCATAAAAGAACCAATTCATTTTTTATTATTATTATTATTATTTTTTTTTTTTTTTGACAGGCAGAGTGGACAGTGAGAGAGAGAGGCAGAGAGAAAGGTCTTCCTTTGCCGTTGGTTCACCCTCCAATGGCTGCCGCGGCCGGCCGCAGCGCGCCGGCACACCGCGCTGATCCGATGGCAGGAGCCAGGTACTTATCCTGGTCTCCCATGGGATGCAGGGCCCAAGGACTTGGGCCATCCTCCACTGCACTCCTGGGCCACAGCAGAGAGCTGGCCTGGAAGAGGGGCAACCGGGACAGAATCCGGCGCCCTGACCGGGACTAGAACCCGGTGTGCCGGCGCCGCAAGGCAGAGGATTAGCCTAGTGAGCTGCGGCGCCAGCCAGAACCAATTCATTTTAAAGGCAGAACAGTACTAAATTTGTAGTCATCTGATAACATAGCTTCAACATATATTTCAAAAGAGAGTTACATGTTTGCCATTGACTGTCTTTGAGGAAAGTGGCTGGAGGACTCCAGTGGAACTGTGATCGTTATCTCCACCACAGGTTCTCCACAGTCTCTGCTGCCCCCCTGGCCAAAACAGATACCTGGCCAAAGGATGTGGGCATCCTCGCCATGGAGGTCTACTTCCCAGCCCAATACGTGGACCAGACTGACCTGGAGAAGTTTAACAATGTGGAAGCAGGAAAGTATACCGTGGGCTTGGGTCAGACCCAGATGGGCTTCTGCTCGGTCCAGGAGGACATCAATTCCCTCTGCCTGACAGTAGTGCAACGGCTGATGGAGCGCACACAGCTCCCGTGGGACTCCGTGGGCCGGCTGGAAGTGGGCACAGAGACCATCATTGACAAGTCCAAGGCTGTCAAAACGGTGCTCATGGAACTCTTCCAGGACTCAGGCAACACAGACATCGAAGGCATAGATACCACCAATGCCTGCTATGGTGGCACTGCCTCCCTCTTCAACGCCGCCAACTGGATGGAGTCCAGCTATTGGGATGGTATGTGGGGCCAGGGGCCTTATGTAAGAAAGGAGTTGGGGTTGGAGGCGGACCCTGTTGGTATTGTTTCTCAGATCCCCAGATGGCTTCCTCCTGGGAAGGAAGGACAACTTACTCATACAGCTGCTGCTGTTGTTCAACAGACCAGTCTAGTAATAACCAAATGCACTGTTTAGGGCTACACAGGTAGGTAGGAAGCATGTTCACCTGGCCATTCATTTAGTCCTTACAACAGCTTAGGATGTGAGCCTTATCCTTGATTTGCAGATTAGAAAATGGAAGACCTGATAATATTGTTCATAATGAGAATGGAGGCAGGACACCAAACCAAACTCAATACATTTCTCTTTTGACTGCACCTGTTTATCTCTTAAACACCTTCTAAGAATCTAGGAGATATAGGTGATACTGAGTTTTTAATTTTTAAAAATGCTTTATTTATTTGAAAGGCAAAGGGGCAGAGGCAGACAGAGATTTTCCATCTACTGGTTCACTCACTAAATACCTGCAACACTCAGAACTGGTCCAGGCCAAAGCCAGGAGATGGCAGCTCAACCTGGGTCTCCGATGTGGCTGTCAGGAACTCAAGTACTTGAACCATAACCACTACCTCCCAGGGAGGACATTAGCAGGCAACTGGAATCAGAAGTAGATCGGGACTTGAACTCAAGAATTCCAGTAGGGATGGGGGCTTTCCAAGCAGTAGCATCTTAACTGCTGAGCCAAATGCCCACGCTCATAGGTGATATTGATAGACCTGGTTAAGCCACTGTTTGCAATACCAACATTCCATATGAGTGCTGCATGGAGTCCCAGGTATTCCACTTGTGATCCAGCTCCCTACTAATGCCCCTGGCCCCAGTCATTGTGGTCATTTGGGGAGTAAACCAGCAGATGGAAGATTCTTTCTCTCTCTCTGACTCCATCTTTCAAATAAATAAATCTTTTTATAAAAAAGAAAGATTTATCTAAGTTTATATGTTAGTAGGTCAATATCCTCATAGAAATAGGTCCAGAGAACCTCAGGATAAACAGTCACACAGTATTTCCAACCCTCCTCTCCTGCGTGGCTCCTCCATTTTTGATTTTTGCTGAATGTGGTAATATTACTATGTATTTTCCTTATATCTTCCATCAATACTATGTTGAAGGAATAACCCAGGCTGTGATGGCAAGAAAATGTCCAAGGGAAATAGTACAAAATAAGAGTTAAAAACCCACTGCTATAATCCAAAAGTTGTACCTATAAAATTTATATTTATTAAATAAAAGCTTTCTATAAAATAAAAAATAAAACCTAACTCTGTTAATAACTGCTGATAAGTACCTTAACCACCTTGAGCCCCAGGGGTTCTTATGTGCCTGTCTGACTAGCAGAGTTAGCAGGGTTGAGTAAAATAATCTACAGAGATGTGAAAGAATAGTACCTTGGCAATCAAAGCACTTGATATGTACTAAATTTGAAACTAGGATTAAAAACCTTGGGAACTGCAGTAAACATTATTTATAAAATTCATTATAAAATCTTGATGTTGATAGGAAACTTAGAGGTCATCTAATCAAATATCCTTTGCTTTAAAAAGATGCCAAGAGAGGTTTAACTGTTTGTCTCTGTTCATATAGCAAGACAGTGCAATTCCATATATTTTTTAGATTTATTTATTTGAGAGGTAGAGTCACAGACAGTGAGAGGGAGAGACAGAGAGATAGGTCTTCCTTCCATTGGTTCAGTCCCCAAATGGCTGCAATGGCCAGCGCTACGCTGAACCGAAGCCAGGAGCCAAAAGCTTCTTCCTGGTCTCCCATGCGACTTCAGGGGCCCAAGGACTTGGGCCATCTTCTACTGCTTTCCCAGACCTTAGCAGAGAGCTGGACTGAAAGAGGAGCAGCCGGGACTAGAACCGGCGCCCATATGGGATACCAGCACCGCAGGTGGAGGACTAACCTACTGCACCGCGGCGCTGGCCCCACTCGGTGATTTTTAAATGGCACTAGCTGGCCTTACCATAAACGGTTCCATTAATGTGGGATGTTCCTGTCTCTGAGTAGTCAAATCTGTTCCTACACTTTCTTTCCCACTTAACACCTGACTATTACCTCTCTAGCAACCCCTACCATCATTACCAGCACCGATATGTAACTGAAATATAGAAATGACAGGCAAGGGACATCCATCAGCCTTTACCCAAAAATCAAAGAGCCTATTCTTCGGAACATTGATAGCTTGAAGCACATCACTGCAAACATCTCTCTGGAAGACAGTGTCTTCACCCACAAATATGGACATTAAGTACCTCATTGGGTGGTTTAAGTATTGTTTGAGAATAACTAGTATCTAGCTTGTATTGTAAATACTAGTTTTTCCCTCTACTCCTTGGCCTTCTTGTAATTTGGAAGAAATCTTAGGATCGTGAAATGCTATATGGTGATTAGTGTCAACCTAAATTGTCTTTACCACACCAAGTAGCAAATTCTTCATTGAAATCAGAGACAGAATTCTGAATACTTGAGCTAGCATGTCGGGACTTTGCATGTCAGATGGACCACGAGCTTCACTAGAACATAAACTCATAGAGCTGGGATTCTGAGGCTTGTTCACTGCTCTATTCCCAGTACCTATGCTTGTGCCTGACACATGGGAGGTGCCCTGTCCACTCTCGAGCTGGTTCATGATGATAATTCTGTCTCCCTTCCCTTTGCAGGTCGCTATGCACTGGTGGTCTGTGGCGACATCGCAGTCTATCCTGACGGTAATGCCCGACCTACAGGTGGGGCTGGAGCTGTGGCAATGCTGATTGGGCCCCATGCCCCTCTGGCCTTGGAGCAAGGTTTGTAGCACACTGTTACCAAAGGATTGTGTGTGACAGAGCTGAATGCATAGATGCTAATCCCAGATTGGCATCCTCATTGCTTAAGAGCTGAGATGTGATTTTGAGGGTGGTATTGATTGCCACCGAAAGGTGGATCTGGGGAGCACAGGGTGGGAGGAAGGGATTTGGAGCAATCAGTGAGGTTTGCTCATCTGCATTGTCATGCATTGGAACAAGGACATGGGGAATGACTGCTGCTGATGAGGGACTTTAGGAAACCAAACTGGCAGCTGCAGAAGAAAGAAGCTGACTGGGTGTGCAGTGAAAGTCTTCCCTTTGAGGTGCCGGATTCTGTCCTGGTTGCCCCTCTTCCAGGCCAGCTCTCTGCTGTGGCCAGGGAGTGCAGTGGAGGATGGCCCAAGTGCTTGGGCCCTGCACCCCATGGGAGACCAGGAGAAGCACCTGGCTCCTGCCATCGGATCAGCGCGGTGCGCTGGTTGCAGCGCGGCGGCCGCGGCGGCCATTGGAGGATGAACCAACGGCAAAAGGAAGACCTTTCTCTCTGCCTCTCTCTCTCACTGTCCACTCTGCCTGTCAGAAAAAGAAAAAAAAAAAAAAGAAAAAAAGAAAGTCTTCCCTTTGAGGCGTTTGGCTTCTGTGGCAGGTTTTGCCAAGTCCACATAGGTGTGGAAAGGGAAACACAGATCTCATTTATGTGAAACTAACAATCTACTCCACTCCTTTCGATACAGGAGGAGCGTTGATCAGGCCTTGGCTTGGGCACGGAGGCTCCTTTTCCATGGTTTCCCCACCCTTTCTACTTGAGGAGGGTCACACTGTGGAGTCCTTTCAACACTCTGTCTTTCCAGGGCTTCGGGGCACCCATATGGAGAACGCGTATGACTTCTACAAACCAAATCTGGCCTCCGAGTACCCGCTGGTGGATGGGAAGCTGTCCATCCAGTGCTACTTTCGGGCACTGGATCGATGTTACACAGCATACCGCCAAAAGATCCAGAAGCAGTGGAAGCGAGGTAGGGGATCCAGGTGGCGGGAGGTGGTGGCTCTATTTGTGCCTGAAAGTGTCAGCCACACAGTATTGTTCAGCTTTTGATACTAACAAAGTAAAATTCCTGAGAGGCACTGTTTGTGAAGGGAAAAGGTTTATTTTGACTTGCCATTTGGGGGATTCTCAGCCTAAGATTTGGCAACCCCATTGGTTTAGGCATCATGATTCAACCATGAGGCTCCAACCCAGGAACCAAATCAAATCTAATCACTCCCCTAAGGCCCCACCTTGGGACACTATAGTTGGATCAAACTTCCATCCTAATTCATTAACCATTTACATCAGACTCTGGGGCCTAAATGTCTTCATGAGTGTAGGGAGCCAATCGTAATGCATACAAGATCTTTTTTTTCCTTCAATGAAAAGCAGTGTCAAAAGAGTTTCATCATATCCCTCTCTTACGCTCTTCCCAGGGTCTATGCTAAAACCTATTTGATGTCTCTCAAACCCAAATATAAAATTGCCTCTAACTTGTGCTAAATCAAAGTAAGTAAATGATGCAGGGCCAAAGCTCCCAGGATGAAACCAATGGTGTCAGCCACCTGGGAAGATACTGTTGTGAGGCAGAGTAGCCACATCCTGCTGGGGCTGGGATTTGTTTCTGAGTCAGGTACAATTTGACTCTTGGTCTGATGGATGTTGAAATATTTTACCTATATTTTCTGTATACTGAAGTGTTACGAGCAATTTTTCTCTGGATGGGGTATTCCAGGTTGATTTTATTTTTACCTTTAGTTTATTAATTTTCCTGTTAAAATGATTACTTTCATCATCAGAAAAGAAGCAAATGGATTTTGCTTTAAAAATACAGGGAGATCCATTTATTAAAAAGTGAAAAGTGTGCTTACGTGCTTGGCTGTGCCCAGGTGGGTGACAGGTGTGAAAGGCAGCGCTCACTGTGGGACAGTCCTGAGCTGGAGCACTGCACCATGGATGCTCAGGGAGGGGCATCAGGATTACTTCTTGCCCCTTTCCACTGTGCTGTGGCTCCTGGTAGAGGTGGTGTATGGGTATGAAGTCAACTTAGCCTGTCTCTGTCTTCCCACTGTACAGTCGCTAGTAACTAATTGCTCCCACTGCCCTCTGAATTCACATTGCATTTAAACTTGACCCCTTTTCTCCTGTGGACCTTGATGGCTGCTGTTTTGATCACAGCGCTAAATTGCAAACTTCTACAGCCAGAGGCTGCAGTGCCCTCCCCTTCAGAGTGGGAGACCAGGCCGTGCTGCAGGGACAGAGGTGTCAGAGCGCAAACCTGAGGCTGCCTTCTTTAAGTTGGGTGGCTTTTAGTAATTCTATGACTCACTTAGTGTTTTGGAGACCCTATTTCCTGCGTCAGAAAATCAAGCAAATGGGACAGCATCAGTCTGGTGTAGAGAAAGCGGCTGCTGCAGAGGTTGGCGATGGTAGATACAAAGATGCTCGTTTCCTTCGCACCTTTCTCATTCACAGAGGGTGTGTAGGAAGTGCAGGTGAAATGGATGAGCTGTGTTTGCTGGGGGCAGCAACTAGTTTTCTGGGAGCCCCAGCCCCCAAGTGCCATCACATCCTGCTCCACGTGGCTCATGTGTCTTGCTGCGCCCTTGACTTTGCCCTTGCTCTTCCAGACGGCATCGACAGACCTTTCACCCTCGATGATCTGCAGTACATGATCTTCCACACCCCCTTTTGCAAGATGGTCCAGAAATCTCTGGCTCGCCTGGTGCTCAATGACTTCCTGTCAGCCAGCGACGACACCCAATCCAGCGTATACAAGGGGCTGGAGGCCTTCAGGTAAGTTCTGTGTGGGAGGACCTAGAGAGGCTGAGGAGTGAGCAGGGAGGAGGCTCCCTCATGTCGAGACTGGACAACAGCAACGGGAAGGTTGCCAAGACTTATGTGGAGCCAGGGGCTACAGTCTGCCCACAGCCCTCCGCGTGTACTTCCGGGGCGGGGGCACAGAACATCTGCCAGCACCTCTGGATCCTGTGACTGTGTGTGAGAAAGCACTCTGGATCCTGTGACTGTGTGTGAGAAAGCACAGAGAATAAGTAGGAGGGGAAGGGGAGTGTGGCGATGGCACCGTGCTCAGCAGCTGCTGTGCACCGGGCATCCTCCTAAAGGCTCCAGACACAGAGGTGCGTGTGACTCCAGGACCCCTGCCCTAGGAGGTCTCACAGTCTGCGGGGACACAGCCGGCAGATGCAGGAGACCCTGGGAGTCCCTTGCTTGTTGTCTCCATCTCCCCCATCTGTAGAATGGAGCTAGTCTGGCCCACCCCCTTAGATGTCGAAGGGCAGGAAGAGAGCTCTGTGTGGCTGCTACTGTGGGATATGCGGGAAAGCAGCATGCGCACTGCCAAGCTTTCCCTTTCTTGTTGATTTTTTTTTTTTTAATTTCAAGCTTAGACTATTTTACCAACATTGTCCCTGTTACTAACTACAGCTCCCAACCCTACCACTAACTCACTGGCTAAACCATCACAATTAGCACAAACAACACTTGCAAGACCCACCCTATTTAAGTAAAAAATGTACCAAAGATAACAGCTTAGTATCTGTAATCTAAGCTCTTATCAGGGACAGTGATGTGGCACAGTGGGTGAAGCTGCCCCTTGCGATGCCAGAATCCCATACCAGAGTGCCAGTATGAGTATGAGCTCCTTTGCTCTCCATCCAGCTCCCTGTCAGGATCCCGGGGAAGGCAGCAGAAGATGGCCCAAGTACTTGGGCCCCTGCCACCCATCAGGAGACCTAGATGGAGTTCCCGGCTTCTGGCTGGCCCAGTCTGGGTCACTGCAGCCATTTGGGGGAATGAGTCAGCAGATGGAGGATCTCTGTATCTCTCCCTCTCTCTGTCACCCTGCCTTCCAAATAAATAAATAAATAAATAAATAAAGTAAAGCTTTTTAAAAAAGATTTTATCAGTATTAAGATAAATACCTTAGTGAAAAAAATGAGCAAAAGAGATGAACAAGAAATTTTCTTAAAGAGGAAATGCATATAATCACATTTTTAAGTGTTAAAGAAATAAATAGGCAAGTTACCATGTTCTTCAATGTAATCTTTATAGGACTTGAATAGCCAGAATGGACAAGGTTTTGGAAAAAGGAACAATAGTGGATGTGTAAACGGATACAAGTGTTTAGAAGAGTAATAGCAGAGCATGAAGCTAAAGCCTTAAAGGATGTGCATGCCTTTTGGTTCATTATTCGTGTTGAAAACACAAGCAGGGCTGGGTCTAAGCAGCTGCATCCCGTATTGGGTGTCTGGGTTAGAGATCTGGCTCCGCTTCCAGTGTTTCCTGCTCATGTACACTACACTGTGAGAGACAAAGAGTGATGACTCTTTGTCTGCTTGGGTCCCAGCCACCCATGAGAAGCACCTGGAGTGAGTTCTGGGCTCCCGGGCTGAAGCCCAGTCCACCCCCCAGTGCTTGTGGGCATTGGGGAGTGAACCAGAAGGTGGAAGATCTCTTTCTCTCTGTCTCTGTCGCTCTCTGTCTGTCTGTCTTTCCCTCCCTCTTTGTCTCTCTGCTTTTCAAATAAATACAATTTAAACAAATAAAAAGTAGAAGGACAAGGAGCTGTTCATTGTAAGCTAAATAGTGAGGAGCAGGGGTGAAATTATTTAAAGCAAGATACCTTGTCATGGGCCATTCTGTGCTCTTTGAAAATTACATTATGGAAGATTATTCACTGTCGTGGAAAAAAGTATTTACTAAGACAACACGCTAAACAGAATGCATGGTATAGTTTATCTCTAGTTTGCTAGTAGATCATATGAAAGTAGATGTAGAGGCTACAAGTAAACTACACCCTGAGTGCAGTCTCTGAATGGTAGCACTGCAGTTGCCGTGGGTTTCTGTGTGTGTGTGTGCATGCGCACGTGCATGCCTTTCCGTATTTCCAAATGTTGTCATAAAACATGTGCCTAAAGGTCTTCTCTCCTGAAGCTGCTCCTTCCCCCCTTGCTCCCCCACCCCCTCCTGTGGCTCCTCACCTGGCCCCCTCTGCCTGCCACACAGGGGCCTGAAGCTGGAAGATACCTACAACAACAAGGAAGTGGATAAAGCTCTTCTGAAGGCCTCTCTGGACACGTTCAACAAGAAGACCAAGGCCTCCCTTTACCTCTCCACACACAACGGGAACATGTACACCTCATCCCTGTATGGGTGCCTGGCCTCACTCCTGTCCCAGTGAGTTCTGTGTCTGGCCCCTCCTCCACACCCCGAATCACATGGTCTGCAGGGGCAACTGGAGTAAGGGAGGGAAGAAGGCAGAGAGGAAGCTTGTTTCAAAGGTAGTGGTGTGGGGAGATCCACGACCTGTGTTAATCAGTGGTCTCCAGAGTGAGCACGCATATGTAAGGGGATGTGTAAGGTCTACTTGGGTACATAATTTTGTCTCACCTATGTAAAACCTCCATGTACTGAGTAGAGTATGGTGATTAAAGAGGGTTCAGCTTCAGGGCCCACAGCTGGAATTCAAATCCCCTTACCACTTAGTAGCATTGACCTTGGAAAAGTACTCAACCTCCACGTGCCTCATTTCCCCCCTTGTAAAATAACAGTACCTGCCTTCACACTTGTGATGAACACCAAGTGTCCAAAATGACATAAAACTGAAGTGTGTAGCAGGTGCCCAAATGTGTGTGATTTCTATTCATTTCCTATTTTGTGGGAATTTGTAAGGAAATATTGAATGTAACTTAGGAAAAATACTTAGCAGTGAACTTGATCAAATTTTTCCTAGCAAGGGATAATCAAAAAGATGTGAGTGCTGAACCACGAGCAGTCAGTGCGGGAGGCTTGAGGGAGAGTTCAATGGTCTGACCTCCCTCTCCCTGGAGGTGGCTTCAGAATTTTCTGAATTCCTCTTCCCACGAGTGGGGAGAAGTTCCCTTTATACCCCAAATTCTGCGTGCTCACTGTCCCTTACTTATGTTGAGTATTAAGCACTTTCCTGTTCCTAAGGTTTCCTAGTCCCAGGCCTGTCCCCGGTCTGCCAGCGTCCCTCGCTGAGTCAAGTGCCGGGCCCCGGGTTCCAGCGCCTTGAGGTGGACGGGAGGTGTCTGGCTGGGAGGCCGGTGCTGTATTAGAAGTGCAGTGCATGGTGCCGATGCATTTCTGGTCTGGGCTTCCTTCCCTGCAGCCACTCTGCGCAGGAGTTAGCGGGCTCCCGGATTGGCGCCTTCTCTTACGGCTCTGGCTTAGCAGCAAGCCTTTTCTCATTCCGCGTGTCCCAGGATGCTTCTCCGGGTGAGTCTCCCATCTTCCTGTCAGGCACCCTGGATGACAGTCATCTGGCAAAACAGTCACCTCTGCCTCTTCGCTACTGAAGCTGCCGTCTGGACAAGCAGAGAAACTCACGGAGCAGGGTTAGCAGTGCAGGGATTCTGTGGGGTGCGTGCATTTCGGTGCTTCCCTGGCTATTCCTTAGAGACAAGGTTGGTATGGGGAGAGCAGATTGTCTCAGCCAAGAGTCCAGGCAGAGGGTAATGGTGGTTTGGTGGCAACTGGCTCAAGAGAAGTTGATAGATTTGAGAGATTCTGTAAGTATTTAGTGGTTGTTCTATGACTGATGTGATTAAGAAGAGACACACAGGGGCCGGTGTTGTGGTGCACCAGGTTTGGTGACCGCTTGTGATGCCGTATCCCATGTCAGAGCACTGGTTCAAATCCCAGCTCCCTGTAATGTGTCTGGGAAAGCAGCAGGTGATGGCTCAAGTGCCTGGGCCCCTTGCACCCTTGTGGGAGACTAAGGTGGAGTTCCTGGCTCCTGGTTTCAGCCTGGCCAACCTGGCTTTTGCAGGCATTTGGAGAGTGAACCAGTATATGGAAAACCTCTCTCTCTCTTTCTCTCTCTCTCTCTTGTTCTCACTCTCACTCTACCTTTCAAATAAGGAAGGAAGGAAGGAAGGAAGGAAGGAAGGAAGGAAGGAAGGAAGGAAGGAAGGAAGGAAGGAAGAAAGAAACATGCAGGCACTATGTGAGATATGCCTTGACTAAATGAGTGTGCCTGCCTGTATGTTTTATGAACATGTGGTTTTGCTTATGGTTTTGGTACGCCAAGCCACACTCAGAGCACTTTTCCCAGGGGTGCAAGCTCCCACAGAACCTGCTGTCATTTGGACTGGTGACTGGCACCAATGATAATGACAGTGAAATAGGCTTAACAATCTTGCTTTTGCTTCTCAGGCTCTCCTCTGGAGAAACTGGTGTCCAGCATATCAGACCTGCCAAAACGCCTGGCCTCCCGGAAGCGGATGTCTCCTGAGGAATTCACAGAAATAATGAACCAAAGGGAGCAATTCTACCACAAGGGTGAGGAGAAGGGCAGGAAGAAAGGGGAGAAAGTCAATCTCAGACTTGATGTCAGTAGCTGGGAGCCAGGGAGCCGTCAGAAATCTAGCATGCGTAGTCCAGAGTCAAGCCTGCTACGAGAGATGGTTGTGAGATCTGCCAGACGATCTGTTGTCAAAGGGGAATGGGAGGGGGGATTGGGGTAAGGTGATGGGGGCAGCCTTGTGGAGTAGCGAGTTAAGCTGCCACCTGCGGTGCCAGCATCCCATCTGAACACCAGTTTGAGTCCAGTTACTCCATTTACGACCCAGGTCCCTACTAATGTGCCTGGGAAAGCCGCATTGATGTGAGAAACCCAGAAGAAGCTCCTGGCTTTGGCCTGGACCAGCCCAGCCCTGGCCATTGCATTTGTTTTGAGTGAACCAACAGATGGAAGATCTCTCTCTATCTATATCTGTGTGTGTGTGTGTGTGTGTGTGTGTTCTCCCTCTATAACTCTGCCTCACAAATAAAACAAATAAATTTAAAGGAAAGGGAGCAGGAAGGAGAAGCAGAAGGCAGAGTTGGGAAGAGGCAGAAGGCAATATGTAGTGTGGATTTCAACTAACCACCCAGACCTTGAACCAGACCACCTTGTCCCATGGAAACCAGAAGTACTTGCACAGTTGTTGAAATGCTGTCAGTGTAAAAGTTGAGAGTTCAGACTTTAGAGCTTGGAGACCATATCTAAACCTGAGCTGTGTCACATACTAGTTGTTTTGTCTTTGGGAAAATTATTTACATTTTCTTAGTTGTCTCATTTCTAAAATCATACTTACTATGCAAGATTTCCAAACATATTGGAGGAATTCATGCACATAAATAAGATATCAATGAATATTACTGTCTTCTCCCAATGCCCCCTTTCTCCATCAAATATCTATACAAAATTACCCACCCTCAAAGCAACAAATGTAAAGGAAACAAAAGCCAAAGTTAGGACTGGAGATACCAGATGTTATTTTTTAAATTGTGGTAACTACATTTCCTCAAACAAAACTTAGGGTGCATGGTTTGTATCGTGGTCTTAAAGGACAAAGAATGCAAAGAATTGGGAGTGTCTGAGGACACTTTGATGACCGACTGGCGGTCATGCATCTCCTCTGAGACAGGGGACCCTTGTAGCAAACAAAACCACTGGCAATAAAAATATGACCTCTGAGATGAACATGAATGAGCAATGCAAGAAATCAGAGCCAGACAATGTACGAGTAGCGAGAAAGTGTCTATTAGGAAGCATGAAGCTCTGGGGTCTACTTCAACCTGGGTCCCGTTGCCAAGAGTGTGATGAAGATGTCAGTGGATGAAGCACATGTTTACTGCAGGAAGATGGCATGCGCCTATGGCGAGATCTACTGGATCCAAGGTGGCTGCCTCTCTGGTTCTGCTGGTGCAGGCTTCTGCTTGTTGTGCCAAAGACAACCATGCAGCCTGGGGCAGCCAGTCGGGAGAGCATCACTGTGAACCTGGAGATACCCCTATCACTTTTTTTCTCTTTCCCGAATTCATGTAGCTCTTGGTGACTAATGTGCGTTTTCCTCATTCCACAGTGAATTTCTCACCACCCGGTGACACAAAGAACCTTTTCCCAGGCACTTGGTACCTGGAGCGAGTGGATGAGCTCCATCGCCGGAAGTATGCCCGGCGTCCCATCTAGATGTGGTGAGTGGAGCTTGCAGTGTTGGTGACATAAAACCCTGATGTCTTTCTTGGGGAAACAGATGCCGTCTGATACTGTAACCAGGCCCAAGAGGGTCAGAGGTGGGGATTTTGTACCATGAGCACCAATTAAGACTCTTGGGGGTCTTTGCCTGGGAAAGTAAAAAAAAAAAAAAAAAAAAAAAAACTGAAGGAAGGACATATTCTGATATCTTGGGTGGGAAGAGTAGGCATGTTTTCCTGATCTGCTCAAGATAAGAAACTCCCCTAGAAGCTTGATTGAAACAAGACCAGCATCCTTAAGAGGAAGCAGGCAGTGAACCTGAAGCTATGGAATTCATTGCTCCCAAAGGGTGAGATCATCAAAAGGCAAAGAGCGTCAAAAGAGGTACACAACGGTGTGCTGGGGCAGATTTGTTAGGAAGCAGAGATGCCCAGGGTTCTGCTGGAGACAGAGGCCTCAGCTGGAGAGAAATTGGGACCAGGGCCCTCTGACAAACCTCATGTCAAACGATGCCTTGTGGCAGAAGCAGTGAGGTTTGGGAAATCAGTATGGACACACACAGGAAGAAGAGACTTCAATGGAAGAAGGCTGGGGTGACAGAAAGACAAGAGAAATGGGAGAATTCTTTATGACATTCTAAAAGGGAAAAGCAAGTCCAAGTTGAGTATCCATTATTCAAAATGTTTGGGACAAATAATAGTTCAGCTGTGGGGGGTTTTCAGATTTTGGGGTAAATGCATACGTCGCTAACTGAGCACCCCTACTCAAAAAAATCTGAGATGAAAAAGTACTCCAAAATCCAAAACTTTTGAGTGTCATGTCAGGTTGAAGAGTTTCAGACACGGGAGTATTGCAGATTTTTGGGTTAGGGATGCTCAACCTGTCCTCAGAATTGGAATCTTCTTGTTCACGAACCCAGCCTTCAGTTTGCCTAGCAAACAGGAAGGATCCGCTGAATGGAAGACTGAGAAGTGACTTCTTTCACAACCTGTACATCTCAATGAATACAGTCCCCGAGTTTTTAACTTTTCCTCTCCTTCAGCAGAGGAAGGGAGAACCACAAAAAGGCGTTCAAGGCAGGGCACGGGCCAGGGGAAGGAAAGCAGGCGGCCCGCCGGTGCGGGAGAGGCAGTAGCAAGCACATGAGCGGAAGAGGAAAGACGCAGGGCTCGCCCCCAACCACTGGGACAGCCCCGGTTGCTTGGCCCCCACTGTGAGGTGCTGAAGAGCTGCAGCTGGGGTGTCAGGGGCTGGGCGAGGTGCGGCCGACAGGCAGCTGGAGAAGGCAAGCTCCGTCAGCAGGCTCAGGAGGATCCAGTGCCAACAGAGAGCTGTTTGTTTCAACTTCTGTTCTTAGGGGCAGGTTGGTGCCGAAGAGGCAGCTCTTAACATGTGTTGAGTGAGTTCAGTCATGCACAGAGAGAGAGAGAGAGAGAGAGAGAGAGAGAGAGATTCGGGGTTTTCATGGGAGAATTTACGAATCAGCCCTCTCTCATCCTCTCATGATTGACAGCCCTCCTGAGTGCTCAGGCAGCTCTGTACCTACAAAGAGAACAGGTGGTGGACACTTGTTCTTGTCTGGTTTCATCACTCATGCAAGCAACCCACACCAGACTACAGGTGAAACGGAGGCTTTGCATCAGGGCGGTGCACAGGCAGACCCGCTGCCTGCCTGAGCTCCTGAGCCCTGAGCGCAGGTCCCTCTGGCATCCAGGCTGGGAGCTGGGTGGGCATGAGTGCTCTCATTCCTCAGGCTGCAGGTAGGGGAGTGCGCTGCACATCCCCTGGCAGGGTGCGGGTCCTGGGGGCACGGGCCCAGGCTGAGACGCGTGAGCGATTGATCATCTTTTGTTTGTTTCTGCTCCACAGATCAGTACAGTTGTTTCTGGGAAGAGTGTGCTAGCAGACTGTCTGCCCACAAATCCTATTTGCAAATCTTGCTTGTAGCCGGTAACGGTAGCCCCTGCACACATCGCCCCTGTGGTGAGGAGCCATCCTTCATGGGTCCTTCGGCGCGTCTCCCTGATGCAGTCACTGGCACAGGATCGTGATGGAAAGGGCCTGGGCTCCCTGTGAAAACACAGATGCAGGAATGGAGAGGAGGCCCCCTCTCGTATACCGGCCTCCAGAAACGTGGCGGATCAGTTGTCTTCTTCACGATCCACAAAAGTTTCCTATCGTATGTCGTGGTTTTATTAGCATTGACAAATTCCTGAGTTGTTAAAGCTTTATTCATTTTCTAAGGTTTCCTGGATATTACTAATACAAGGCTACTTCAAAGGGCTGGTGGAAAAATGGAATTAAAAGACAAACTTATTTTGGTGCAAAAAAATTTGAAGTCTTTGCATAATACATACCGTCCATGAATTTTTGAAGATCCCTCATATGCATGGATTTCAAGATTGTTTTGCATCCAGGGCAGGCATTTGGTGCAGCAGCTAAGCCACTGCTTTGGACAGTCACATTTTTCCATAGATGGGCTGTGGCCGGCATGTGGGGAGTGAGCCAGCAGATGGGAGATTTCCGTCTGTCTCTCTCTCTCAAAGTGAAATTTTTTAAAAAACAGCTTTTTGCATTAAAATGAATTCAGCTTATAATCCATTTTCCATGAACATTTTGAAGTACCTTAATATATGGCAATTAAGAAGAGAGAAGGAGGGGCTGGCGCTGTGGTGAAGCAGGTAAAGCCGCCTCTTGCAGTGCCGGCATCCCGTATGGGCGCCAGTTCAAGACCCAGCTGCTCCACTTCCAATCCAACTCTCCGCTGTGGCCTGGGAAGGCAGTGGAAGACAGTCCGAGTCCCTGGGCCCCTGCACCCGTGTGGGAGACCTGGAGGACACTCCTGGCTCCTGCCTTCAGATTGGCACAGCTCTGGTGTTGTGGCTGGTTGGAGAGTGAACCAGCGTATGGAAGACCTCTCTCTCTCTCTCTTTCTCTCTCTCTCTGCCTCTCCTCTTTCTGTGTAACTCTGAATTTCAAATAAATAAATAAATCTTTAAAACATTAAAAAAAAGAGAGAAGGAGAAGATTACCCCTGTATATCTTGGAAAATACAGTACCCTACTTCTTGGAAAATCCAAGACCAAGAAGAGCACATGTACTGACATATACATAACTCTGGTCTGACTCACCTGTGCCTTCCTGCCTTCCCTTTCAGATTCCATTGTATTTCTGCCATATGCCAAGTACTATGACATCCGCAAGGCAAATAACCTGGTGAAGCAGTTTCCCCAGCTTACTTCCCTGCCCTAGAGACACTGGCCCTAGGCAAGCGTTCACATCAGTGGTTGAGCCTCCACCTGGGATGCTTGCATTCCGTGCCGGAGTGCCTGGGTCAAGTCCCAACTCAGCTTCCAAGTCCAGCTTCCTGCTAGTGTGCATCCTGGGAGGCAGCAGGTGATGGCTCAAGTATTTGGCTCCCTACACCCATGGAGGAGACCCAGACTGAGTTCCAGGCTCCAGGTTTCTGCCTGTTCTAGCCTTGGCTGTTGCAGGCATTTAGGGAGTGAGACTGTGGTTGGAAGATCTCTCTCTATCTTTATGTCTTTCTGTGTGTCTGCCTTTCAAATAAAATGAAAACAAGTAAATAAAGAAAGATACTGTCCAGACAGGGGCCAGCAGGAGTTAGAGATCAGAATCTCCTTGGCCATATCGTGCCTGTTTTATCTGGACAAATAAGCCGAGGAAAATGGGTTAAGTTTCTGTCTCCTCCATTTGGATAAAACCTGCAGGAAACTTTCCAGTAGGGCATTGAGTCCCTCCCCCATTGAGTGAGGATACAGCTTTTCCCAGGGTCCTTTTAGTCAAACAGCAACGATTTGGAGAGATGGGATTGAGCAGAGCAGGGGAGATGAAGGGGGGTGAGGGTAGTAGGTTGTTGCTGTTTATTTCCCCTTGAGGGTTTCCTCAGGCACCCCAATGAGAAAAGGAAGCTTTGGAGAAGACAGAGCCATTTCTGCATGAAGAGCAAGCCCTGCTGGCCCGGGAGGCAGAGGGACATACATGGGAAAGAGGCTGGGCCCGCCCCCTTCCTTGTTCCGCTCAAGGCTGCACAAGTCTCAACAACCACCTGCCTATCTGAAATCAACCAATTTGAGCAGCTAATCCAGCATGTGCTGATGGTCAGCCCAGTCCTCTCTCAAGTTGCTGCTGAGGTTGTGTTTGCTACACCAGCTGCCGTCCGCCAGCCCTTCCCCGCCACCCTCTGCACCTGCTCACCCTCAGCAGGTGTCTGGTAGGCACTTCTGGCAGGGGGGACGTCGGCCTCTCTTAAGGCTCTGGAGCAGCGCCGGTATCTGTGGCGGATGTTGGAGACCATGGAAAGGTTGCCATGCTGAAACTGCCTCTGGTGGCCTTGGCAACCAAGGACCTTCCACACCACTGGCCGCTGGTGCCAGGTTTGCCTCCACTATGCTGGACATTTGGACACACCCATGTTCTTAAAGATGCTTAAAAACCAGGCATCAGGGCACTGACCAAAGGGATGGATGCTGTCCTTGCACGTGCACGACAGCTGAATTTCAGCCCTGCTCCACCTGCTTATCACCACCATTGCACCTGCAGATTTCCCCCTCCCCTCTCACTCCTCTTCACCAAGTTTTGTGCTGAGCCCAGGGCCTTGTGCTGGCAGTGCTGAGATCCTCTGCGTGAAAACTGGAGCCAGCCTGCTCTGAACAAGGCCCTCTCCATGAGGCATGGACAGACCCAGAGGAAACGGGTTTCCAATTGCCCTGCCACCATTTTCACCCTGAAACTTGGCGATGCCACGCAAATGAAAAATCACCCAGGGGGACCAAGAGCAGGAATGAGGATGAACGAAGGTCAGATAAGCACTGAGCCATTTTCCACTCACCTCAGATAGGAAGGTGCAGCAAGGTCTGGGAAGAGGGAAGTTTAGAATGGCCCAGCCCACTGAGCACGAGGCAACTTCCGGTCTCTAGGGGATACGTTAAAACACACACACACACTTCTCAATCTTCAAGCTCAGAGAGTCAGGACTGAGCTCAGTTCCCCAGTGCAGCCCCAGCATTTGCCCAGCCTCCAACACTGAGCTTTAGCATGCACACAGCACTCAGGAGAATGAAACAAAACTCTAGAGTTCAGCATGCAGAGATGCCACAAGCCACAGAGCAACAGAGGATGGCTCCCTCTGTCTCCGTAACACCAGCTGGATTTGAAAACCAATCCTGCACTTCAAATTTGGGAAAATTTATGTGGGCAGCCGCAAGACAAGTGATGCAGTAAGATTGTCCCTGCCTTCTAGTGTGACCCATGTTTAGGAAGCTATTTTGAGATGCTCAAGAAAGTTGTTTCTGGAATTGTCCTGACTACCTTAGTGCAGAAGGCGGCTTTGTCTGAGGATGTTTGGAAGAGGCTGGGAAGCTGAACATTAGGCTCAATTCTTAACTGAATTTTTAATCTCTTCAACCTTAGCCTGTTTTTCTAGCAGTCAGAGGACTCCAGGGACCACTCAGCAGATGCCACGTGAGGCACCACTATTTTCCCAATGGGAAGAAGTGGATTGTCTGATGTGAGCTCACTGTGTCCAGACCTGGCTGGACACCATGGCAATGAGGGCCCTGGGAGGTCTCTGGTTGACGTGGGTTCTACCTAAGAGAGAGACCAGCTCCTCTACTCTCTGATAGGCATGGGAAGGAGAAACCTATGTTCATCACAAGCCCAGAGACTTTGCCATAAATGACTTTTTAATCCATGAGACCCTCACTGCAGCTCATTATCCTCCTACAGATGAGGAGCAAGGGCTTGGGACAACTGTAGCTGCCCAGAACTCTCCTTGGTACTCCTGTCTGAATCGTCCTCCAAGTCCTGAGAGCTCACTGCAGGTGCCAGCATAGCCTTTACTGTTGGAGTCCCTGCTGGCTCCAAACTCTGTCACAGCACAAGGCCAAAGGTGGGTTTGGTCTGGCCAGTGTGAAACAGTTGTCCTGAGCCATGTTCTCTTAAGAAGGAAGGGTAGAGGTGCAGGTATTGTGGTACAGAGAGTTAAGCCACTACTGCAATGCTGGCATACCATATGAGTGCTGGTTTGCATCTTGCAATGCTGCATACCATATGAGTGCTGGTTTGCATCCTGGCTGCTCCACTCTGAACCAGCTCCCTGCTAACTAATGCACCTTGGAAAGTAGCAGTTTCCTGCCATGCACATGGGAGATCCAGATGGAGTTCCAGGCTCCTGGTTTCGGCCTGGCCCAATCCTAGTCATTGTGACCATTTGGAGAGTAAACCAGCAAATGACAGACCTCTATCTCTCCCTCTGTAACTCTGCCTTTCAAATAAATGAATAAATCTTAAAAAAACAAAATGGGGGGTGGAGAGTAGAGAAGCAGGTGCTGTGATACCACGGCTAAGCCACCACTTAGGATGCCCACATCAATATTGCAGTGCCTAGGATCAGGCCCCACCTCTACTTCTAATCCAGCTCCCTGCTAATGCACCCTGGGAGGCAGCAGATGATGGTCCTCGTGGGAGACCCGGATACAGTTCCTGGCTCCTGGCTTCTGCTGGATCCAGCCCTGGCTGTCATGGGCATTTGGGAAGTGACCCAGAGAATGGAAGACTTCTTTCAAAATGTGCAACCTTTGTAAGCAAGTGCTATTTTGCTATCTCTCATGAAAGTCACCTTAAAAGAAATAATAATGTCGTGTCCAGCCCACACTGAAATTGCTTGTGCACCTGCCAGATATTCTCACATCCTATGCCTTTACACAAGCTCTCTTCCCTTCACAAAATCCTTCCAATATTCTCAGCACAAAGCTCCTCTTCCTCTGAATTCAAGAGAATTCTCTGTACCCCCGGGGTTGCAGCACCTCACTCATGCGTACAGGGACATTGGCATGCTGTCCCTCCCACCACAAGATTGTTATGGGAGAGGAGTCAGGGTGAATTCCAGACAAAGTACCTAGTCCAGCACCTGGCACATAATGCTGTGCATATTTGGGGAATTTTACTTTCTGATGTGCATATGTATTCCCAGATGGAAATAATGTGAAATACCTAGGAATCTGTAATACCTTGAAATATACCATTGAAAATACCATTGTAAGAAATGCCTCTGAATAACCTTAGAGACTTGATTCCACAGGGATCTCCCTCAGAGGGCCCAACCCAAGCCATTTTGCCCAGCCCAGTCTCCCTTCATACCCGTACCCTCCCGGCCAAAACCAAGCCTCACGGCTGCCCTCTGGTGGCTCTTCGGGACAACAGCAACACACCACACAAGGGGTTGGGAGCGGGCTCTTTATTAGGTGGCTATTGGGGTCCTACAGGGTGAGCATAGAGCAGCTGTCACCCTGTCAGTCACAGTGGCTATGCGTCTTCAGGAAGGCCTGGAGGCTGGGACAGTGAGCCCACGTCTAGAAGTGGAATTGGAAGGCCTGGGTCACATGCTGCCGCCACTCCTCCAGGCTGGGCAGCAGGGAGGAGATGCCCATGACGTGCCAGGTCTCTCCATCCGACACCATCGAGGTCTGGTAGGACAGCAGCTGCACGCCTGCCTCTGCCAGGAGTCCTGGAAGTGGAAGAAGCCTCAGACTGACCCAGGGCATGAAGGAGGGGGAAGATGGGGGCTGGTAGCAGAGTGAGGCATCTGCAATCAAAGTTGCGATGGGGTGGAGGTGGCAATGGCCTTAGAGTCAAAGAGCTGAGACAAAGGAACAACAGGGCACCTGCCCGCTGCCCCCGCTATTCCAGAGACTCTTCAGAACCACCCAGACCACCGGGCAGGACAGATCTGGCCACAGAATGGTAGGCTCTGCCGTGCAGACTGACAGATGTATCCAGGCTGGCCCTTCAGAGTCTGGTTGGACACATGCTCTGCAAAACCCAAAGGTGCTCCAAAACCCCCAGCAGCCTAGGTCCCAGGGGCCCGGGGCAGGTCTGGGATGCCGGTGACCACTGGAGGGGATGGCTCTGTAGGACTTGCTGTAGCCAGGCACTTGCTGGCAGGGCCTAACTGTGCTCCACATGGCCAGCTCAGAACACATAGTCAAGGCGGTTACAGCGGCTCTGGTTGCACCTTTCACATTGCCCTGGGGCAAGGCACTTGCTTTTTCTGAATTCGTTACCCACACCGGGATATTCTGGGAACTGCTCTGTAAGGCGCGGACTCGGAGACACCAAAGCATGGAGAGGGACTGAGGAGGCAGAAAGTCCTTGGGACCCAATTCCAGAGCAGACGCCCCCCACCCCCACCCCACTGCCCCTGCCCTAACCAGCTCCCCAGGGCCCTTCTCACCAATCATCGTAGGCAGCAGAGCCGGGTTGGAGGGCTGAGCCCGGAACATGAGCAGGGGCAGGCCCCGGCGGAGAGGCACTTCCGGCCTGAAAACAGCTCCGTTGAGAGCCTGCAGCACAGGTGTGGTGCCCTGGACCGAGCCCACAGCCTGGTAGGGGGCACCTGCCAAGGCCACGGTCAGGACGCATTCCCCACTGCCCTGCTCCCCTGCAGCAGTGTTGCTGTGGGAAGTGGTGACCTGCGGAGAGAAGGCCAGGAGGCCGTGACTCCTCCTGGCTGCATCCCAGCAGCCCTCCCCCTCGGCTCCAGCCTGGCCAACAAGGTCTCCAATTCAGGGCTGAGGCCTGGGGCGGTGTGGAGGGAGGGCAAATGGGCTGAGCTGGAAAACAGTCACAGACCTCCCTAAGGGTCAAGGGCAGGAAGAGGCTTGCAGGGGAGGGGTGGGAACCACGCAGAGGAAGGGAGGGAGGGAGATTGGGCTGTGAGGAGGCCTCCACCGCTGAGCTGATGGGCACTTCCTGCTCCTACCTGCTGCTTCCTGCACAGCACCAACGGCCTGCCCGGGATGGAGGGAGGAGGGGCCTGCAGGCGGGGCCGTGGGAAAGCTACTGCTTGTTGCTCCTGCCAGCTCCCTCTGGCTGAGAAACTCAGTGGGGAAGATGCCAAAGGGAAGCCAGTGAGGCAGCAGAGACCATGCCACCTGGGGATAAAAGGCAGCGCGAGCAAAGGCGCTGGGCACTGTGGAGTATGGGACCTGGGTGGAGAGCCAGGGTGGACAGGGCTGGGCCTTCTCCAAGCCTCTGGTCTGGATCAACCCAGCTCCTGGGTTCCTCAGCTGGGCCACGCAGGCACTGCCACCACGGGCTGCTCACAAGCACTCTCCTGAGGCCCAGGGCACCCAGCAAGGCTCTCCATTTTGCAGCAGAGATGAAAACCACCTCTCACAGGGGCACCTGGTGTGCACCCAGGATGGATGTCAGTGAGGGGCACTCAGCATGTGGGGGCTCTGAACTTGTGGGGGCACCAGCAGCGCTGACAGGGGACACGTGGGGATGTGGACGCACAGCGAGGCCAGCCTCCTTCACCAGCAGCTTGGCGTTCACCAAGTTCACTTCCGCCTGCTTGGAAGCTTCTTTCAGGAGGCCGACTATGACAGCGGGGCTTAGGCAGTTCCCTGCATTCTTCAGGGATGCTCCTGGGGACAGAGAGACGCTGCCGTAAGGTCACTTTGTACGGAGTGCCACAGAAGGCGATGCAGTGGGTCAAGGCTGTTGGGTGCAGCACCTGCATCCCACAAAGGAATGCTGGTTCCAGTCCCAGCTGCTCCACTTCCAATCCAGCTCCTTACTAATGCACCTGAGAAGGGAAAATGGCCCAAAGAATCTGGGTCCCTGTCAACCACTTGGGAGACCAGGGTAGAATTTCTGGCTCCTGGCTTTAGCCTGCTCTAGGCCTGGCTGACGCAGTCATTTGGGGAGTGACCCAGCAGTTGGAAGCACTCGCTCTCTCCCCTTCTCTCTCTGCTACTGTGCCTTCCAAATAAAGAATCTTTTAAAAATAATCAAAATTAAAAAGGGGCTGGAGGCCACTACTGCTAGCTCCAGGCTTTGGGCTGCAGTGTGCCCTGGCAGGCCCCCTTCTCCCCCAGCGGGCTCAGAGGCAGCCGTGGGAGACACTCAGGCTACTTAAGCAGCCTAAGAAACTCCTTGGCAAAGCTCAGCCCAGCTCTGCTGCTCCCTACCAGTGGCTTGGCTGCTCTGGGCTGCCTGCTGCTCTCCCAGGAGCCACTGAGAAAATGTCCTATCCCACCCTACTTGGCACTCAGCCCCTTGTGGGCCCAGGAAAGGAAAGTGGAAAGCCGCGGTTGCTACACTGCTGCCCTGCCTTGTTCCTTCCTGGAGCTGGGCACCCAGGGGGCGGGGATCCCCAGGCTCTGCCCTTCCCCGGCATTGTCAATGCCTGGCGTTTAACCGCCCACACCCTGCAGTCTCTCCCAGCACGAAGATGCCTAGCAGGCAGTGGGAGAGGACCAGCCTCCCCAGGGTTCAGGGAACTGCAGCCTTCCCTGGTCACCCAAGCACATCTGCATGGTGCTGGCGATGCTGAGGCCACCACAGGCTGCTCAGCAGCCCCGGGGCTGAACACAGGCCCTGCTCTCATCCTCCTCCATGGCCGAGCAGACACCCGAGGACTGCGGACTGCCCCCCTTAGCAAGTCACAGAGCACAAAATATGCCCATTGCTGCACCGGGCACATCCACCCACTGGTTCTCCCTCGCCATGTAAGGGACCCGAGGCTCAGAAAAGGGAAAGACAAACAGCAGGTAAGCAACAAGGTCGAAGCCAGAATTAAGCCCCCTGGTGCTTAATTTGGTTCTCCCTCCACGGAGCCCACCACCTCTTGCATGAAAGTCTCTTGTAGAGGTTCTCTCTTGCAAACAAAACAAGTATATCTTGCAAATACTACACAGAATGACTTTAGAAAATTCAATACCTCTTCCCAGGAATTCTGCATACTCCTTCCCTGTGTCTCCAGCCTGAGCAAGGCCGGGTCTCCTGTCAGACTCCTCCCAGTCTCTTACCAGCTCTGTGCAACACCCCCAGCAAACCTGGCCCATGCCCCCTTTCTCAGCCCCTTACTATGTCCACATGCAGAGGGTGATGCTGAAAACTCCGGGCTCACCCTGTGTCACCACCTGGATGGTCCCTTTGGGGGATCCAGCCCAGGCTCGCATCAGAGTCCCCAGAGCTTCTGCCAGGCCAATCCAAGGCTTGGTGTGTGGAGAGAAAGCGCTGGTCAGGGCCTCGGCATTCACCTGCAGGGAAAGGGGGGGCAGTGCTGTAGTCAGGAAGAGGCAGGCCAGGGGCTCACCTGCCCGACTTAGCAACCACATCAAGGTTGTGTTGCTGAGAGCTGGACAAAAGGGCCTGCCTTGCTTTGGGTGCCTGGTGGGTGGCAATTCCCGCCAGCCAACAAAGAGACAATGACTTGTTCCTGCAGGGGAGCTAGAGAGCCAGAAATGGACACAAAAGGCCAAGAACACTCAAAATGACTAGGGGCGGGGGGCATTTCCTCCATCAAGGAGTATGTCAGCCTTGCCTCTCTATGAAAACTTGGGTTCACCTGTGCTGGGTTAAGGTCTGCAGAGCACAATGCGGGGGGGGGGGGGTCTTTGGCACAAAAAAACACATGGCATCCCATGTGCATCTCCCTTGGATGGCATTCTACACTTGATCTTAGCCAAAAGGCCGGGAAGCGATAGGATAGCATTCTAAGCTTGTCTTCATTTCTCATCTTCTGCCTTGATGGCCCTGAGTGTTTACGTCCCAGTGAAACACCATGAACACATAGCACAATGCATAAAGCCAGATCCATGATCTGGGTGCTCACTCCATGCTGTGAGTCCACGGTGAGGCATGACATGATTTAGGGAGGCTCAGGGGGCCGGCTGGCACAGAGGGTTCATGTTGGCAGGTGTGGGGAGTAGGGTGAGACCCTGACCATGGACGGGACGGAAAGAGTGCTCTGGGAGTTTACTGGGTGCAAGCTCCCTGCAGAGGCCTTGGGAACAGGCCAGCTTGCCGCCCGCCCAGGGCCAGCTGTCACCCTAGCAACACTCCTCCAGCCCCAAGGCACCAGGAGAACAAAGCCGCCTTTCTCTAGTGGCTGGGCCCTGGGAACTGCCAGTGTCTGCAGCAGGGCCACAATGTAGCAGGGATGCCCAAGGGCTGACCATCAAGGCTGGAGACAGAGCCCCCTGCCCCGCCCCCTGCTCCCTGCGACTTTAGCTTCCAGGGCTGCGTCTGTTCACCC